CCCGCCCCCTTTTCCAGAATAGAGCTCGGTCATTACAGCCGAGCTGCTAATGTAGTACATGCTAAAACATCTGTTTTGGTTCTGATTAGCATGTTTATCATGCTGAAATCATGCGTTTTAAAGCATATTAGTTTAAAGTTCTGATATATGGTTTTCAGAGAGCACACATCCGAAGCACACGGACAGAAAGCTGCTGTCACAGCATGTGAGTACTAAACTAAGTTCTCATTCACACATGAGTTTACGTTAAAAACACACATGAGTTAAAAAAAACAGCAAAATTTGATCAAAAATTTGCCTTCCCATTACGAGGTGATATTTGACTCCTTAAAGTGATTTACAGTAGAATTTTGTTTTTACCTTTGTAATGGCATTTTTCTATCTTTATTAAAAGTATGTCATCTTTTATGTCAAATTTTTTTTTAATTATATTTTATAAGCTTTTTAAAAATTCTAGATAAAACCATAGAATAAGAACAAGTAGAATAAGAAGAATAAGTTACTAATCAAATGAAATCAGTATTAAAATTAATTTGTACAGAGGTAGCACAGGAGAACACAAAAGTGGCTTGTAGGTGTATTTTCAGACATTTAATGAGGATCAGAGGTGGCATGAGTGCAATTAAATCCATAAATTCATATTAAGATTAATGTTTTAAAAAATGTTGAATATAGAAATATTAAATGATTTAAAGAACTGAAAAGATACTTTAAAAATGAAACAAACTGCCAGCAGGTGGCGAAAAATCACTGATTTTATCAGTGAATCATTGATTCAATTGATTCATTCGAATGGCTGATTCTTTCAGGAATGAAGCAATGGACAGTATTTATGAATGGGTAATCATGAATCACTGACTCACAAGTGCAAGCTTGTGAATGAGAATCGAATCGAATTGTGAAATTTGTGTTAAAACCCAGCCCTACTGTTTATACTATGGAGTGGCAGTACTTGCCACACATGTTACAAGATTATATGTTTGTCAATGGTACTGAGGATCTGCAAATCATTCGCCATCGTCCTCAGTCATCTCTCCTTACTCCGTTTATGTGGTAAGTGAAATTTTATGTACTGTAATGTAACAGGCAACCATTACACCGTGTCTACACCGGACGCGACAGTTGTCGTGTCGCGCCGCATCAGCTAAAGTCTGTCTACACTGGATGCGACAAAGCGACCGTTGAAAATCATTTGAAATTTGTGTCAGCACGTCATAAATAGAACGCTGCAGCAGTTTACTGTCAGGGATTTGTCGTGTCGCGCCGCATCCAGTGTAGACAGCATCACTGATTATAATGAGTTCTATAGACTGATCTATATATAATGAATCTCTATTATAGATAAGTGGTTCTATAGTGTTTTGTCGCGCCATGCCGCTCGCGTCCGGTGTAGACACGGTGTTAGGAATCGTTATTTGT